GGAAAAAATGTGTTGACTCTGGAGGGGAGTACGTTAAAGACTGACATGTGCAAGTAAGTGTTTGGCAATTATGTTTTTTTTTTTAAATCAGTCCTTGTCATATTTGAACCACCTAGTATTTTCACTTCATGGATCCAATCATCTACTTGTAGGGCTGTATATAAAACTATTACAAATTCATGATGACTACACATCATTCGTCCTTTGTCCAGTAAAATATATAATCAGGCCTCTCACAGATAGCTCAAGTTGTCAGGACAACACACATGGGTCACAGAAAAACCATAGTCAAATTCACGCCTTGCCATTCCACACTGGCAAGCCATATCATTAAAACAGTTACAATTATAAAATATTAAAATTCATAACAAAAACAGACATCATACATACTACTACGATACATGATACAAACTCCGTCTTCAGTGCAAACCATATATTATAGGTCTTTCGTTTTGCTCTCCTTTATACACTACATGTTTCAGCCACAAATGGCCATCATCAGGTGTATTACTCATGTATCTGTCACACTGCACTTAGTTTAACATTTAAAATTTAAAAACACAGGTCTTTCTCGTTGTTCCTTTCGTCGTTATTACCAAAATCTACTTTGTTGATATCTTTGTTATTTACACACATCAATTTTGATTTCTCTGAATTAGCACTTATAAAATCTTCAGTTCTAATTTTAAAATCTTTTCAATTTTCTTCTAAATTTTAAATTTAAAATTGTCAGGGTTACTCGCCCTATGTCTATAGTGCCGCAGCGGCTACTTCTTGTTTCTAATACTGTACTGGTGTTATTCTGTGTAGTCTCTCTGTGTGCGTGCCACTGCTTGTCTTTACTACGTGTGTAGTAAAGACACATGAGATGCAGTTACTGATCAGGTCAGTCCACAGATAATGATCTGAACTTATCTTTAGGATATGTCTGATGAATCTCAAATAGGTTACCAACTATTTTGAGGTTTCTCTTGGTTTCCTCAGTTCCTCCTGGCAAATATAAGCCATGACCACTTCCTTCCAAATCCTTTCCAATTCATCAGTCATCGTCATCACCCAATACTATATAGCCCTGATAGTGAAGGCACTATTAAAGAACCCATAAAGAAAATAAGCAGTTCATATTTTTTATAGTAAGCAGTGAACATGAACCACTTCATGATGTATACTGGTGTCACCTATGCTTTCAATAGTTTAACAGTAATTGCATAATGGACTTCTCAGTTTACTGAGTTCTGAACTGGAAAACCATTAACATTAACTTAAAATTTTTAAGCATTTATATCAAAGAAAACTTAAGCTGGGCGACTCATATACAATACCTTTGTCAAAAACCACAAAAAGCTCTTCATTTGATTAAATCCTTACGCAACTCATTCAGTATACCTGTATTAAGAGATGTTTATTTTACAAAATTTTAATCTATACTAAAATATGGTATTATATTTTTTTTGGGGGGGGGGGAGTAAATGACAGTAATGCAGTATTTAAAATACAGAAAAAAGGTTCGAGACTTATTATAGGAGTTAATAACAGGATATCTTGTAGAAGTCTGTTTGGTGATTTTAAGATTTTAACTGTAACTTCATTATGCATATTTGAGATCTCTAACTTTATGAATAGGAATCAGAGCTACAGCACTCAGTATTCTAATATTCGTAAGTATATCACAAAAGGGAAACAGGAACTGTATGTCCAATTATGCCACACTGCTTGTTGTAAAAAAAAAGTGTAATTAATATGGGAATAAAAATACATAATAACTTACCTTCCAAACTAAAAAGAATAGATGCTAAGGTTTTCAAAAATAAATTGAAAAGTTATTTATTACAAAACTGTTTTTATTCTCTACAAGAGTTCTTTACTAACAATGACAGACAGTAGTTTGGTAATTTGAGTTATTTTCGATATGATATATTTTTTATATATATATTTATTTATTAAGCAATCAGAATCTACAATTCTATAAGCTAGGTTGCTGGCATAAGAGCTGTGATGCTCTTTAATGACGTGATGAGTCCCTTCCCCAGTTGGAGGTTCCTCCAGTATCTGGCCAGTATCTACGGAGTCTTCTATTGCGCTGTGGTTCAACGAGTGGCTGTAGTATGTCATTTGATATGATATGGAAGTGGAGAGATGGTCTTCAGACTGTTATCTTCACTAAACATGTGATGCTTTGTTTTACATGCCTGACTTGTGTTTTCGGTGGTTTAAGTATATTTATTGCTTTATACTGAATTGCTGGGAGTTGTCACCTATCGTTGGTAAGCTACATATTGATCAACAGGGGACTGTATTGTACACTGTCTTGTATACTGTTTTGTACATTTTAAGAGTTGTTAACATGTAGCATTTGGCTGTTTTAAAATGACCTGTCTAACAGTGCCTGTGTAACAGTTATGGATGATAAATTATATTATAATTATTATTATTATATAGAAATACTCACAAGATTGTTAGGAATGTTATTAAAACTTTGCTCTCTCTGTATCTGAACAATATCCCTTGATGCATCATTGTGTGCCTTCGTCTTCGGCACTGTTCCGGTCTGTCGCCCATTTATGCCAGGAGCCATGATTCACACTGCACAAAGAACCCTCTGCAGTTATATATCCTAAATGAAGACTGATATATGACTGTTTCTTAGATTATTTAACAACACTGATTCAACTCATTCCATCAAATTCTCCACAAATAAGAATATCTAACTAATTCTAAATTGTAATCAGCAGTAAAAAATTGTAACTATTGTAATTTTAATCTACTTATATATCAAACTGTTAATATTCAGAATTAACTTGACTTGTCATATATCACGTACAATGATCTACAGTGACGACATAAATCAATCAATCAATCAATCAAAACTGCATAGGTACAGGCCTGTCAAATGAAATGGTGTGTACAAAGCACATGAGACTTACATAACATGGGGACATAATCATCATTGCTTATTTCTTATGTTTCAAGATTAGGTTAGGTAACATAATAATACTTTTCTAGAATCATGTCACCACGCCTCTCATTCTCAATGCTGATTATACTGGGTGAGGTTCAGTCATGTTAATGTAGTTTGTCTCACTGAGAAATACTAACATGTATAGTGGTAACATTATGGTTTGCTGTGCATGCCTGGATACAGGGTTGGGGTGTGGGCACTGAAGGGCCAAAGGAGGGAGAAATGGGTATTCCAATGAGAATATTTTGGGGATAATTCAATAAACGTGTATAGACTACGAACTGTGTTAACACTATAGATGCAGATAACATGAATCTGGTGCATGTTACAATGTACGTGGATACCATGTTGCAAATCTGTTCCAAACCACTTTCTACTTAAGGACCCCAAAAGCACATGACACCCAAATTATGTAACTTCTCAAAGTAGACAAAAATAATTACCACACTGTAATGAATTTATACCAACATTCTGCTTTAACACAATCACTTCCTTATTAGTATGCTACACCAGTCCTTTATTTTCTTAAATATTATTTTTCAACATTTTTTTCGCCTATTACAATTTAATGGGCACCCATGGCAATGCGAAGAAATGTGAGTCATGCACGATAAGACAGAAGTTATAAGGATTATGAAATTGGTTAGAACACGCGTTTCTGAATTCCAATACGGCAGTCTTTCACCTGATCAAAGCCATAATATGGAATTCTACAAGATCAACATCTAGTGTAAAAAGTGACTCACATTTTATCTTTCTGCAGCCATTTAAATACGAGTGGAGCACAACGACACAACTCACAAATTAAGTTATTATTAAAAACAGACAAGAACTGCAATACTATATGCACAACCGCATATTTACGCTGTCATTCGAAATTTACAGCAGCGCTCCTTTGGCGAAACAGACAGACGTTAGATTACCATGGCAACAGAACGCTTCAAAATGGTTTCCGAATAACGGTTTAATACAAAGGAAGGGGAAGTCTTGCGATGTTGTAAAAATTACTTATGTTTTCATGACGTATAACTTTGGTAAAATGAATTTCAGTTTTTGTGAACGTTTCACTGTCACCTTCGTATCGGACAAATCCTAGTCGATGGAGCTGAGTATATATGATTAAATAACTAGGAAACAGGGTTAGTAATTTGTTATAGGAATTCAGTAAAGTTTTTCTGTGCCTAATTAATTAAGTACTACATCATTAAGGCGTATGGAGGAGAGGATGTATAGATCCACATTTTCTTTACCTACTGGAGATAAGCGGTCAGCTTCACGGCCCTGCCGCTTTACCCCCAGTACCCATTGGACAGGAGGTTGCATGGACCCCAGAGCCAGTCTGGAGGACGTGAAGAAAAGAAAATTCTTTACTACCGGGACTCGAACTCTGACCCCTTGGTCGTCCAGCTTGTAGCTAGTCAGTATACGGACTACACTATCCCGGCTCACGTAGGAGTTCAGTTATGTTGACTTATTACATGTCTTTCCTTAAACATAATTTAATGTTTCTAGCCATGTTGTATACCATTTTTATCATTTCACTACGATGTCTCTAATTTCGTTTTGTACTTTTACAGCAACTCACCTTTGCTGGGGAATATGTGATAGCCCAGGCAGTCAATGGTTTCTAACCACAGAGTCCTAGGTTCAATCCAAGGGCATGCCATTGTGATATGTAGTGGATAAAGTGTTACTGGGGCATGTTAGTTAGTTAGTTATTTAGAGAGGGTGGGTTTCCCCATGCACCGCGACCAGTTTGATCTATTGTGCTTCCCTCTATGATATTCTACCAGTTTCTTTACCCTAACGATAAATGGTGCATACCATCAGTCCCGCCGAGCAAGCGAGTTCGGCCACTTGCTTAGCGGTGTCTAATGCTTCCCCCATCTATCAGAGGCCTTAGAGGCTATTGTTGGGCGGGAAACGTCCTGGAATTTGGCTCAGTGATCCCCTTTGGGGATATGAGGTTCTTTTACGTGCCGTAAAGTTACGACACGGGACACACAGCTTAAAGTCCCTCCCGGAGGACTTGTTCCCTGAATTTTTCCGCCCTTAAAAATTCGACGACCTCCGCCGGGTATTTGAACCCGCGTACCACGAGTCATGAGGTGGGAACGTTACCTCTAGACTACGGAGGCCGCTTACGGGGGCATGTTTGTCCAAGGACTTAAGTTTCTTCTACCAATTATCATTACAAAAATATTCCATGCACAGTAATAATCTGACACTGATACAGGAGGCTCACTTGTGGCCACAGTACCAAGGGATTGAGTCTTACCATACCTCAGAAATACAACAGTATCTTTGCTGTTATTGAAAACCCATAAATATTTTGGTTTAGTTTCCTAAAAATAACGGGAAATTTCACTTTACTTAATTCTGTTAACTTATGTGCTGTTTATAGTAGCAGTTAATCCTCAGACTATGACACACATCTGAGACAGGTCACAACTGTAGCTTCTGTAATTACATTTATAACCACTGATGTTCACGATGGATCTGAAGTTTTCACAGCAGTGACTATGAAGAGTATGATTTGATTTTCTTGGTTGTAAAGTTGTGTAAATTGTGTGTATGTGCAAACTTTCTGAAGTCGTTGTCTATTGGAGTATTGATAAATCCCACACCAGTTTTATTGTATATTTCACCTGTCATCTATCCAGTCACCTATCATCTGTTTACAACTCTCTCTCTATGACTCTATAGCCCTTTGGACCCTGGCTGCTTTCTCAGTTTCTTAATCCTATACACAGTCAGTAGGACTGCTTGGATGGGGGATGAGCCCATTGCAAGGCCACAACCTACACACAAAACAGCATGAACACAGATTAAATGCAGACATCCATGCCTCGAATGGGATTTGAACCAACTACCCAAGTGTTTGAGCTTGTGAAAATGGTTCATGCCTTAGATCATGTGGCCACTGTGATCTGCATCAGACACATGACATAATTGCTTGATTAACTGATATCACCTCAGCATGACCATCGCTCAAATGTGTCACTGAGTTTAATATAAGACTGTTACTAGTCACATTTAATACAGGTTTGAAACTAATGCAACATTCTTACTGATACAATTCTTATGAAACTTATTTTAATCAACATTCGGAACAAATAGATTAAGAAATAATGCCTGTATATAATTTATTAATATATTGTTCATTGTTAACATGAAAATACAGTCATTTACTTTATGCACATATCTGATTCCGTAAATTCATTTACCATTTGTAGCTTACAGAAGTTTCAATCTTTATCCCTTCATGTAGTCAACAAATTATATGCAGTTCCTTGGCAATCAGTAGAATGCCATGTTCAACCAAACAAAGTGCCATTATTCATGGTATTCACAAAGGAAACTACAAATTTCTGATGCTGGACCTAACCAGCCAACCAATGACAAACAAACAAAACATGCAATGACTGTAAGTGTATAAAGTTATTCCTATGCTTAATTAATTAAGCACCACATCATGGATGTATATGTGAGAGTGAAGGTATTGCTCCAGTCATTCTTAAACTTTGCATTAGTTTTACCTGTCATTTTTCACCTCAGCAAAGAGCCCCTGGTACCCATTGCATAGGAGGCTGGGTGGGCCCCAGAGCTCTTGCCTCTGCCAGGAATTGAATCCTGATTTTTTGGTCATCAAGCCCATAGCCTATTCACTATATTGACTGAGTTATACACCTTTTAATAAGTCACAAATGCATCATAATTCTGGGAAGAATAAACGTGGTCACTTTGCCTAGGGGAAGAATATAGATTGAGGGTGTTTAAGAACAGATTTCGAGGAAGGGTAATTGCATGTACTATGTGACAGGCAATGAAGATAAGTACATAATGAGGAGCATTATAATCTTCAACTGATATCAATAGGGTGATTATATAAAGGAGGATGAGATAGACACGGCATATAGTATGAACGGGAGAGATGAGAGATTCGTGTACAGTTTGGGAGACTAGGCACAGATGAATGATATTAAAAAGTGTAGGATTGTAGGTTCTCACAGTGATGGTTACAGAGAGCTCTATCTTCTGGGATGTTACACCATGCTACTTGTTTCATGCTTCTTTTTGGCTTACTCTTCACCCCTGAAGGTTCATTTTCCAGTGATTTGGTCCTTTTGAAGAATCTTCCCTAGCCCATGGCTGTGTGTGCCATCTTGTAACATGCTGTGTTTGTATAGTGAGGAATTCTTACTTCTCCTTGATGCTTCTGGCGAATATTACAAAACTTGGCTGGTCATATTGTCTTATTTGAGGTGTTCTGCTGTTATCCTCAGTCCCTGCAAACAACTGGTGGATTAAAACCTGATGAAAACAATGTCTGAATCACTTCTTCAATCCTAAGAAGTGGTTGGGACTTGAAACCAGACCACTCACCCCCATCTACTACCAAAGGTTAACAAAGAATGGAGCTATATCTTCACTGCCCATGTGGCTTAATGGCCTGGTAATTAAGAACAGATCACAGATGTATGCTGTATTTTATATTGAATGAAATATTGATTCCATGCTCTCTTATGATTAGATTGGGGCATGTTCATTTCTCTGGTTCTACAACATGATAAAGCATGAAGCTTCTGTTAACAGCACATTAATTCTTTCTTGTTTCATTACCTTTAAATAGTTTATGGTTGTATGAAATAAATACGTAAAATATTTTCTTGTAGATTTATAACCCATAATTTACACAAATTTGGTACACACACAGCATATCACAAATATCTTATACAAATATTCAGTAGACCACTTTACTATTTCATAGGCATTATCATGAAAATATTTTGCAAACAGAATGTATGCCAAATACATCCAGTTATAGTCTTGTTGATCTTGATCAGGTTCCACTACTCTCGATAACAGAATGAAGGCAAGAAATTGACAGCAGGGTGGACATGTAACTTAACATGGACTCCAGTCATCATTGGCAGCCTATGTTGTCCGTATTCCAAAATTGGAAGGTTTGGTATGGTCTATCTAACATTAAGAACAGACAATTAGAGTCCCCTCTAGTCATCCAGCAGACTTATGGACTGCTAGCATAATTAATAAGCCTATGGCCTAACATTTTACAAATATCACATAACAAGCTTGCAGCAGATGCTGGAAATGCTGTCACAGTTGTTGTTGTTGTCGTCGTTGTCATCATCGTTGTCAGGAAAATGTCTAAGCCTAGAACCACTTTCATAATTACTGGAGATCCCCCAAAGAGAAATGAAACATTGAATATTCAACCAAGGCAAAATAAATTAAATCTATGCTAGCATTCTCTTCAAGAATCTCTGAGATACCCTCCTCAAGATACCAAGATGGAAGTTTCAAGTTTAACAGTTTCTGAAAATGAAATTCAGTGTACGAATGTAAAATTTTTTTAGAGATGCCAGGAAAGTGTGCATAACAACATTTCCAGCATCTGCTTTAATCTTGGTAAGTTCTATTTGCTAGGCTATAGAATTGTCAGTGCCCCATGCAGTCCAAATCTTTGCAGCTGACAAGATGGGAGGAGCATGAAATTCTTCCACCTAAGCAGCCCAATGATTTGTCGCAAAATTCTAAGATGATCACATTGTAGAAAAAATGTAACCACATTATAGTCCTGTATGGGAAACCAGAAATAGAAAATTCGACTTCTACAGTTGGTGTTCTTAGATAAACGGCTCATAAGACAACACAGTCTGTTCTTAATGCTGCATACACCATAGATGTGAAGGTTTTAATCTGTGTGAAGAAAAGATTGCACTCAGATCTGAGGAGTAATTTACACCAGAACCCTGTAATTTAGAGTCTGATATCTTATCCCAAGACTGCTATAGGTTCCCAACATGTCAAACAAAATATATATCTATTAATGCATATTTACTGCCATGTTTTCAAGCAC